GAGTTACTGGATCCACTTCAGACGGCACTGCCAACTAAACGAGCTGACAGTGAAGGGCATTAAAGGCTCCGAGCAAGGAGCAAACACGCAATCAACACTGCGCGTGTGTGTTAGCGTGTTACTCACTCAGCTGCGTCCGACTCTGCAGCCCCACGGACCCCACCCCACCTGCCTCCTCTGTCCGTGGGATTTCCCGGGCAGGAACACTGCCGGGGATGGCCATTTCCTTTTCTAGGGGGTCTTCCTGACCCAGGGACTGAGCCTGAGTCTCCAGCATCACATGAAGTTTCTTCACCATCTGAGCCACCAGGTTAAACTATATAATTTTGTTAAAGTTTTTTCTTGGCAATAAAGTTTCAAAGGTATGCTACCTTCTTAGACAAGCTTCAATATTTTCCAAATTTCACTTGTTTTATGTTTTTTATTGCTTTCAAGTATATTTGTAAACTTTCTAAAAGTAAATATGACTGGGGAAATACCTGTGCAGAGGCATAGACCAAAGATATGTATGCATATATATATTTGGTATAGTACAGATATAATACAGGTATTTCTCAGTCATATTTACTTTATGAACTTATATATAGAGTTACATATATTTATAATTATATAAAATTATCTATATACAATTTCATAAAATCAGATTTATAAACATAAGGAAGAAATGCAGTGTTCACATGTCTCTGCCTTTAAACCATGACTTAAGCTTCTTAATTTAGTCTACTTTAGAACCTGTGAGTACACTTGATTTAAAAAGAGGATAAGGAACCTCAGTGAGTGATGTTCCACTTTATGGAGAGTGAGTAGGCGCTGAGTTGCTATTGAAAGCTAACTTTCCACCTGTAACCATAGCAACATAGGCTAAAAAGAGAAAGATCGCTGAAACCAATCGATATTTGGGCAGGTCTCAGGAAAGGCCCATCAGCCAAGGTTCACGCCTCTCTGAAAGGTCAAGCTGCACCCTTTTGTACTGAGCCCCGGGCTGGGGAGGGCCACAGAGCACCTCTCTGAGTCTTCAGGCAGGGTGTGCTTGCAATTGCTCATTCTGATTTTGAAACCAACTGGAGACATGGACTTTTCGCTGTTGATGGTGCTTTCAAAATTCCCAAGTCCAAATCCTAATCAAGCTGTGTCCACCCCTATAAATAATAGAGGGAATTACTCAGAGTATTCAGCCTGTGGCTGAAAAAGGCCCTTGATGGGAAGCTGAGTGCACGCCAGCAGCGCCCCCGTGTTGACCGAAACTCAGTGTATTAAGGATTACTTTGTGGTAGTTAAGAGCTTCTCCTCTGGATCAGACTCCCTGGGTTTGAACCCGACCTCTGCTACCGTGGCAGGATAAAGACTGTCACACATGCCTTGAGACTCTTTTCATACACAGGTAAGGTCTGTGCCCATCTCCTTGAATCTTAGAGGACTCTGGTGAAGAGAATAGGACACAAGTGACTCTGTTCCAGTTTCTGACTCAGGTTTTGAGAAAGTGATAGCTTCTACTTCTTGTTTCTTGAGTCATCACGTAAAATCTCACTTTGCTGTTGTTCAGTTGCTAAACCACGTCCGACTCTTTGAACTCCACCGACTGCCGCACGCCAGGCCTCCCTGTCCCTCGCCACCTCCCAGAGTGCGCCCAAATTCATGCCCACTGAGTCGGCAATGCCATCCAACCGTCACATCCTCCGAAGCCCTCTTCTCTCGCCTCTTGCCCCAGTTGGGCATCTGGGGCTTTCCCAATGAGTCGGCTGTTCGCATTAGGTGGCCAAAGTATTGGAGCGACAGTTGCGGCCCCCTAAGACTACAGGGGGAAGAGAGGGGCCCTGCTGAGTCCAATCGTATCACCCTTCCCATCAGGGCATCTGGTATGTGAGTGAAGCCGTCTTGGGCCCTACAAATCAATGCAATGCAGGCCCCAGCTGAACAAGAGCGAAGAATTCCAATGTTACTACCTAGAGCTGAAGAATTACCTGACCTACTTTAAAACAAGCTAGTCCTACTTCTTCTGCTAAGGAGCAGTTAACTCATTTAACCTCTGTGCATGATTTTTTTTTTTAATCTCTTGTGACAAGTAAGAGGTCGTAATACTGTGGGGTTGTGCCAGGCCTTTCAGCAGGTGGGATCTCCTATCTTCATTGTGGCATGCAAACTTTTAGTTGCAGTATGTGGGATCTATTTCCCTGATATAGGGATCAAACCCCGGTCCCCTGCTTTGGGAGCTCGGAGTCTCAGCTGCTGGACTGCCAGGGAAGTCCCACTGGTTGTAAAGCCAGTGAAGTCAGAAAGCAAGTCAGATTTATTTTGTTCACTAGGACAGTACTTGGCACACGGGTGGACACACGGTGGGTGCTTCACACTTATGGATTGCACTGCCTGGCACTGAATTTATGGTTCTTCATCAACTGCCAGGCGAAGAGTTTAGCAGACTGAGAAACACTAATGAGTGTCACCCCAGTATGAACGCATGTCTCCTGCAGATGGTCAGGGTCGCCTGGCAAACATCTCCCAGTCCTATGCTCATTGACTTAAGGATAGAGTGCCTGCATCACTCCTAACGTCTAGGAACCCGTGGACTTTCTGTGGCTGAGTTTGCTGCCAGCAAACTCCCAGAGGATGTGGTCCAGGAGGGCGGCTGCCAAGCTCCTATTCTCCTTTACTTTCTACAAGGATCCCTCTCTGTCCCTTCGAGAGCTGCCATCTGCTCTCACTTCTGCGGTCTTCTTCCCGTAGAACAGGAGCCAGAGTGGGGTTCAGCCTCAGCCTGGTCATCCGCAGTGTCTCTAAAAACCAGGGCTCTAGCCCTTGCGGTTCAAGGGCTTCACTGCTAAACAGCGAACGTCAAGCACGGGCGTCACAGGCTCATTGTCAGACTCTCACAAGCGTCTTGAGCAAGGACCCAGCCCTTCCTAAGGGTAAACTTCACCAAGGCTCCCTCCCCTCGCCTCCCCCTTCCCCAGATTAGATTGCCACTTCCTGCGTGCAGGTCTAAAGGCACAATGAATTGTTGAACAATAAATGAATTAATCACCCTCGAAGTGTCTGAAGTCAGGGCATTCCAGAAGGGTGACTATCCCACAGCGTTTCCCCTTCTGCATACAGGATATAAACGACCTCTGGCCTCTCCCTCATAGTTTCTCATGTACCACATCTTTTTAAAAATCATGGAAGAAACCTCAACTGTGGTCCATGGTATCTTCTACTTTCACCTGTTCACTTAGTGATCGGTAACCCGTGTTACTAGTCTGAAAAGTCTAGGGCATCAGGGCTGTGTTGACCAGTGTTATTCAAATTTCCTGAGTAACTTCTAGGGGCTAAAGTCTCTGAAGAAAGAAAAAACTGCCCAGGCTCCAAAGGGGAGCTGCCTAGCTCCAAGATGGCATCTACAAAGATCAGCTCATTCTTACTTCCTGAGAACTCTGGACTTCCTCCTGGCACTTTCAGAACTCCTGGTCAAAGCTGGTGGGTTACAAAGAAAGCTTGTTTGCACCTGCTCAGAGTGTTGGAAAGCAACAGCCAGCAAAGTGATAACAGTCTTTATCTGCTGGTGGTAGGAACGTGGCTGGTTTTTCTTCCTTCTGCTAATCTGTATAACAGACTTTTCTACCAAAAAAAAAAAAAAAAACCATATTATTAGGGAGACCATAGCCAGGCGTGGGTGACAAAGAATCTTGTTTTAAAGTCTTGGTTCCTTGGCTTATTAGACTGGGATGACCTTACGGCATGTACTTAACCTCTCTGGGCCCCAGGGCCTCCCCAGTAGAAAGGACGTGAGATCCTCACAGTCCATGCTTAGTACATCATGCATGCTCGATAAACATTTGTTTTTCTTCTTGCCCCAATGCTGAGACCTCAGAAAGTGTCCTCATAGAGCAACCAATGCATGTTTCATAGAATCTTCAGAGGAAAACACAGCATCCAACCAATCTGACTTCTCTGGGATCAACCAACCATAGCTTCCCTGGCCAAGGGTCCCTGACCCAGGGCAGATTGTAGCCCATTGCTTTCCTGGGAACAAGTGGCCCCCTTCATAGTAGGACAGGTCTTATCAAGTTACAGCGTCACTTGCCTTTTATTGAGCTACAACTTGACTGTGAAATTCTACGTGCTGTCTTACTCTTAACCTCTAGGCTCTCAACAAGGGGCTGGCAGGCTCCCCTTCCATCCCACAGCCCTTCAGCTCTTAAGCAACACCATCACCCAGCAGGCAGGGTCACTGCATGATGTAGGGCTTGGTCTAGGCATGGCAGAAGCTTTCTTAAAGCGACACACAGCATGTTAGTAACCGAATGCTATCCCAGATGGTGGGCAAGATTTCCAGTAAAGGTCCATCTTACCTCCTCTTACACTTCCTAACTGCTCTTTTAACTTGCCCACTCTACCTCCAATCCCCTCATCAGTATCTTTCCTCTCTTCCACCCAATACCAGCCTCCCTTTCTCCTTACCCTTTTCAAAGATGGAGCTTTTTATTCCTACATAGAAGATATACTGAACAAGTTGATTGGGAATGGTTTTTCTAATTCTAGCATGCCAGGTAGGGAAGAAAACAGAACTTAATGGAATAGCAAGTATAGAAATAGAGCAAGCAGACAACAAAATAAATAATCATCCTGATTTTGTCCTTTAAAAAATTCCTGTGGGCCCGAGCTCAGAAATACCCAACTAGACCATCAGATTGTTATTTTCCTATTGAGGAAAACAGAACCTCTTTCAAATAACTCTTTTGCATTCCAGGCTTTCAGCGGAAAAGGCGAAGACACGCACTGTAGACCATTAAGTACTTAGGAGACATGATTTAGCTAGGATGTAACTCAATTTTACTGTGATTTATAAAGAGCCTGGGGGAAAATATTTCTTGATTTGGGCAGGCCATTGTCAGATTAAAGGTGCAGTAGGCCCAGATGCTGTTTGTTCCAGCCCTAAGTTCGATTGCAACAAGGCTGAGTGTCTTGTCTGTGCTGGTGGATTATTAACAGAGGTTATTGGTCTCCATGGCAAAATGATAGCAATGAACGTAATCTTATTTATGAGGGTGCAGGGGGAAAAAAAAAATGAGCTTCAGGTCAGGGAGAATATAAATGACCATCACCATCGGGGTTCTGCTACATTTGAGAAGCTGAAGCACCTCCCAGGACACAGCCCACAGGCTGATTTTGCTTCTCGGCTCCAAAATAAGACTTGATCTGGGGGCAGTTGTTACGATTCTGCAGCCGGCAGCTTTGAAGAGAACCTGCGAGGAAGGCGGCTGGGGGGCTTGACCGCACACCTCCGTCCCACGTCCGCAGCATGTGCACTGGGAGCTGTGCCAAGTGCCTGGGGGGCACCCTCATCCCCCTGGCTGTGTTTGGCCTCCTCGCCAACATCCTGCTATTTTTCCCCGGAGGAAAAGTGATAGACGACAATGACCACCTTTCCGACGAGGTCTGGTATTTTGGAGGAATATTAGGAAGCGGAGTCTTGGTGAGTACGGAAACCTTAAAATCTCCCCGGAAAGATTTTCACCCTGTCTTTTTAAAGTTGGGTACTTACTGAACAGGAAGAGATTTAGTTGCTAACAAAAGCCCAAGAACTGCATGATGAAATGTTCAGTGCCTCAATTTTTTTCCATCCTCATAGGGACCTGCCAAGGAGTCCCCAGACTTAGGCTGGCAGCTCCCACGGGGCAGGAGACTTCCCTGAACCCAAATGAGTTGTACATAATTTATTTTAACAAGATAAAGATAGGGCGCGCAGTTCTGGGGGGTCGGGGAGTGAATACACTTTTTCTAGTAAATTGATCGAAAACCACCAAGAGAAACAGGAGTCAGTGAATTCCTCTTCCAATTCTTTGGTAATGATTTCTTTATCCCGTATTTCCAACAGAGACTGGGAACTTCTGGTTTAGAGAGAGGAAAAACTTGTGTTTCATGACAATCGAGGACAAGTTTTTCGTCCTTCTCCTAACCCACCATGTAAATGGAAACTCAAGTGTCAGATCTTGATATATTGCCTCATTGGATTTGCAGTTAGGCCAAATAGAACCTAAATACTCCATAACGCTCGACTACCCACCAGCCAGACTCCATTAGCTGCTGGCCCCCGAGTCCCAGGGTGGAGATGCGGCTTCTCACACAGGCAGGCAGGCATGGGGCGCCCCCTTCGCGTGTCAGACCACAAGGTGCTTCTCTTGCTTGCAGATGATCTTCCCTGCCCTGGTGTTCTTGGGCCTGAAGAACAACGACTGCTGCGGGTGCTGCGGCAACGAGGGCTGCGGGAAGCGCTTTGCGGTGAGTGCCTGCGGGGGACGGGAGGGGGAACCAGCCCCCAGACCCGCTCCAGGGGCGCTGCCTCCTTGTGCTGGGCATTGAGGGGGTGAGTTACCCGCCCCAGGCGGCACTCCGGGGGCAGCTGCTCCAGGGACCATGACGGGATTCTTGGTGGTGCAAAGTAACAGTCATCATAAATTTTTAAAACCATAGCCTTCTTACTTATAGAGCATGAGTACCATTCAAAACGCTACAAGCAGCCAGCGATATCAGGGCTGGAAAACTGCAATGATGCCATAGAAAGGATGAAGGCTTGAGGACTTCCCTGGTGTTCCACTGGCTAAAGTGTTGGGCTTTCACTGCAGGGGGCATGGGTGAGATCCCTGGTCAGGGAACTAGGATCCTGAATGCAGCGCAGCTTGGCCAAAAGAAAACACTTAAAAAATAAAATAAAATGCTAACTCAAAGTATAGCCTAATAAAGAGAAGACTGCAGGCTTGGAAGGCAGAGACGGGGGCTGTGACTGCCTCTGCGGCTGAGAAGCCCTGAGACCTCGGGCAAGCCGATTCCCTTCTCTGGCTCTGCGATGCCTCGTCTGTAAAGGTGGGGCTGGGACAGGATAACAGATGGTGGCTTCTTCTCCCGACAGCCCCCCAAACTCTCCATCTCCACCCCTGCCAGGTTCGCTGCCTTAGAGGCTCAGCACCTCCCTGCTTCTCCCTCAGTTTTGCCCCCAGCCTCCTGTCTCCTCTCTCGTCTCCTGTAGTCTCCCATCTTTAGTGGGCAAGCTACAGAAAATAGGCTTCGTCACTCCAAGCCGGGGTGAGAAGCCTGGGAGTGGGGTTGAGTCCCATTTCCTCAGCTGGGGTGCTCTCTGCCTCCCTCTGCCCGTCTGTTAAGATGAAGACATGGGACTAACTCAGAATTTCCCAAGGACAGACATGTTCTGCTGGCACGCAGGTTTGCTCTATCTTTCAGTAATATAGAAAGTTATTTTCTTTTAATTGTCCTTCAATCCTCTTAATTCTATCAAGAAAACTCTTACTTTGATGGAAAAAAGTCTTTGCTATTTCTAATTCTCTGTAATCTCCCTAATGAGTCTCCAAGTCCAGGAATGCGAGAAACATTAACTAGAAATTCAATAATATTGTGTTCATGTGTGCTGATGATTCATAGAGGTGATATAGATGAATAAAATAGAGAGCTGATTTAAAGAAAAATATTGAGTTCAGATACATTGATGTGGCAAAAATGAAGAAGGCTGAGCCAGAATCACTGGCTGGATGATGGGTCAACCAGCACCTGATCCAATCTCCAGAATCAGTTGTCCACCGAAAAGAACCCCAATGATAAATTACACATTTCCACCTTTAACCTGTTAAAGGGAAAGGTGTTGCAACTTGTCCTGAAGCATAATCACTTCTAACATTTCGCATCATTATTTCCCCATCTAGTCAATGAAAATATATTTGTGCTGTGCTGAGCTTACTCGCTCAGTCCTGTCCGACTCTCTGCAACCCCAAGGACGGTAGCCCGCCAGACACCCCCTGTCCATGGGGACTCTCCAGGCGAGAATACTGGAGCGGGCTGCCATGCCCTCCTGAATACATGTGAAGGGCTGACGCTGGTGCCCTGTGAATACCATGATGCTTTTCCACTCGAGACCAAGGATCATTCAAAGAGAATGTTATCACTTTTCAAACACAATCAAGCACTGATTATTATAGCAACATTTAAAATCATTATTGACAAAGAGATGCAGAAATCAACCACAATGCATTTTATACAATTGTGCAATTTGCTGCAAATTACAAACAATTATGTAATTTGATACATTTGATTTTAAAATGTGTGTTATTGTTGTTGCCGCTTAGTTACTAAGTTGTGTCTGACTCTTTTGCAAACCCAAGGACTATAGCCACAAGGCTCCTGTGTCCATGGGATTTTCCAGGCAATACTGGAGTGGGTCGCCATTTCCTTTTCCAGGGGATCTTCCCAACCCAGGGATCAAACTCCTGTCTCTTGCACTGTGGGCGAATTCTTTACTTGTAAGCTACCAGGGAAGCTCCAGTGTATGTTATATATAATTGTATTTTCAATACTTAATCATAAAGGAAAGAAGTAAATATGTAACTCATTTTCTCTTTGAAATCTAACCCCATTACACCTTGTGGATTTGGGGGGAATAAATCAAAGGTAAGAATTTGAAAAACAAATGAGCAATTAAGGAAATTGGATGAATTACATAGAAATCTAACAGCTCATTCCCTGGTGCTGAGTAGAAGGCTGAACATCAGCCAACACAAAACCAGGGTTTTTGTTTCATTTTTGTTGCTGTTGTTTGTGTCACACGCAATCACAGTGAGATGGGAAACAATATTCAAAGTACTGTACAAAGCATGTTTTTAAATTAGATTTGTGTGAAGTCTGAGAGGAAAGCAGAAAAGTTATTAAGCACAGTTGAGTATATACCACCTGAAACAGCTGGTCTGCTCAATGCAAGTCATCTGACTGGGGTCCCTCACCTCTCCGGGGGATCCGTTCTTGATGTAAGTTGAATACGACTTCTTCCAGCCACTAGCTAACAGTCCACAAGGGCAGTGCCCTTCAGAGGACCAGTTCTGCCGCTTGGAAACCAAGGCACCAGCCTCAGCCACCCTGCACCAGGGGAGAGCACTCTCTAAGTGACCAGCAGAGAGATTTCTTGTTTGGGGTTCATTTGTTTGTTAATCAGCGGCCACCGTTTAAAAATAGATTTCACATATACACAAAAGAAATATAGATATCTTACGTCTTTTATACAAAAAGAAAACAACCCTGCAGCATAATTTGATCAGTTCTATAATGCTAAAGATATGAATTATTTTTCCAAAGGCTCACAATGTTCCCTTCCAGATGTATAAAGAACACTGGGCTTCTGAGAGCACCATGTAAGAAATCCTGTTGCGTAGAAAGGTCTGTGAGGCAGGAACAAATTGGGCCAAGAGCTGCTGAGCCAAATCAGGCGGCTGTCTTCATAGCTGTCTCTCTGTCATTTGTTTCCTGGTCTGTCTCTTCTTTGTTCAGTCTTTCTGGAATATTCTTCAGAAATTAGCTGCGTCATTCTCTTCTCTTTCCTTGGGCAGTAAAACCAGGACATAGGAATCAATAGTGGAAGCAGGATGTGAATGCTGTACAGATAAAGCAAGACAATAAGCTGGGGGAAAAAAAAATAATCTTGAGATTGCCTGATTGATAGTTTCAGAGTGAAACTAAAAAATGAAGGCTAAACATTCTCTGAGGCAGAGCAAAGACTGAAACCCTGTCCCCAGGATCTGCACTCTTTTAAATAAATTAGGGTAAATGAGAGCTGAGAAAGGGGAGCCCTGGGATAAAAGCTGCGGGAGGAGGGAGACTTTCAAACTGGGCTTTGAAAACCCTGGTCTGGGTGCGTGGCTAGGTCTCACCCTCCTAGCCCCAAACTAGAGGTGTCCTAGCAGCTGATCTGTCCTCTAATTCATTAAAAAGAAAAATTGACCTCTCAGGGCCCAGTGGCCTTTCCCAGTGGCTCAGCAATGAAGAATCCACCTACAACGCAGGAGGCGCGGGTTCGATCCCCAGGTGTGGAAGGTCTACTGGAGGGGGACGTGGCAACCCACTCCAGTACTCTTGCCTGGGAAATCCCAAGGACCGAGGAGCTTGGAGGCTGCAGTCACGGGGTCGCAGAGTGAGCATGTACACACAGGGTCCAATGGGACAGCTAATTCATTTTATCAGCTCTTTCCTGTTAAGTACGTACAGTAATAAGAGCCTTATGAAACCTTGACCTTAACTCAGAGGAGTGTCTCTAATAATTGGCCTGATAAAGGGGATATTTAGGGGCAGACAGGCATTTCAGCATCCTGAAAGTATATCATGCAGATGATAAAGGCTCACCCCACCCATAGGCAGGGCCAGTCGGTGCACAGACCCGTCCCGAGGGAAGAGCTTGGTCAGGTCATAAATCAATCTATTCCCTGGACGTCAGCAGTTCTGCCCGCGTCCGGCTCGGCTCGCCAGCGACCCCTAGGGACGCCTCCTGGTGGCGCACTTGTGACGTCAGTACGTCTGAGGCCACGAGCATCAGGCGCTGACCGCAGCCTCTGCGTTCCATGCAAGGACCGCTAGTTTGAAGGGGATTTAAGAAAGACCCTGCTTGTGAAACAGTTATCATAAAAGAAGAAATGAGGTGTGAAACCCTATTTCTTCTCTAAATGTTCTATGTTTCAAAACCCTCTGCTGTAAAATGGCCAGAGGCGGTTGGTGCCTTTCCTAAGGACATAGCAAGGGCTGGGAAAATGTAAGCAGAGGCGTGCTGGGCAGAGGAGGGCAGTCTCGAGTGCCTGCGGTACTGGGGACTCACAGATGCTTCATGAGTGCTTGTTGGATGGATGAAGTAGATGAATGTTCTGGGAGGATTTCAGGTCGTTTCCGTATATATTGGGCTCACTTCTAACAGGAGCTCTTTGAGGTAGACATTCCATTTCTCATTTTATAAGGAAGGAAACTGAGGCTCTTGCAAGTGAAGTTTCTCACCACCGCACCCTCCTCCCACCCCCCGTCTGTATTCCCAAGACTGAGTCAGAAAATACAGGAGGGCATTAGTGTTTAAGTGAAAAAACCTTCAAGTAATCTCTATGTATCTCCTTTCTGAGGGGAAACTTCATGCCCACCAGAGATGTTTCCCCAACATGCTGCCACTGCCCAAGCCTTGAAATACCCTGTCTCCTAAGCCACCCCGCTTTGCTCCCGTCTCAGCGTCCCCGCCCCACCCCACACCTCCGCCAGCGCTTCAGTGAACCTACCTCATCCGCCTCCAGAGTCTGGTAAAGAGGGAGGTCTTAAACTGATGCCTGGACATTCGAGAGCATTCTCTTCCACTTTAAGGGAAGCATTTAGAGCACATACGCTAACACACGCTTCTTTAGAAATGCAAACGGAAGGTGTGTGTTGAGCAACCGGAAGACAGCCTATTTACTTTTCTTTTTCCCCCCAGAGCTAGG